TTCTTTGGCTTGTTGGTGCGGTGGGGTTTCCGGGGGGGATTGGGGTGGGGCGGGGGGGGGTGGGAGACTTGCTGCCGGTGGGGGGGGGAGTTTCTCCCGGCTGTCATACTTTATTTATTAGTCTCTACAGTACGTATTTATTAGTCTCTACGTAAGTTTCAAGAATCAAATTTTCCCTTTTTTTATTAAAACATCCAATGTTAAGTAGCGGGCTGGACGGGACGGGTGGTTGTTCTGTGTGCCAGCGGGTACACGTTGCGGGTGTACGGTGCGGCTGTACGCGGACGGTGTTTACAGATGGCGAGGGCGGGAGCGGTAGCCGGCGGAAATAGCCGCGGCGCTACTCGAAGCGGGGCGTAGCTTAGCGCCTAGTGCGTAGCTTAGCGCCTAGTGCGGCATATGCGCGCGCTGACACAGCGAGTCACGTGGCTAACACCTGGCTGGCGCCTGGCTATCACTTGGCTAACACTTGGCTAACACGATTAGACTCCACGCCACAGTTCATTTTTCGGGAAAAAAAACAGCAGCTGTCATCAGATCAAGCGGGCCACGTCTCTAATCTAACCGCCGCACCATGCACACATCCCACCGACCGACCAGAAGAAAAAAACACCAACAACAGCCTAGTAAATATCCTACCCTTTCAGTATAACGCCCCCTCCACCAAAATCACCGAAAAACAATGTAACATCCTAATTACAACACATCCCGCCCCCCCCCCGCTACTTGCCTTTTGTCGCCTCCAAGTGCGCTGTTACTGCCGCAGGGAAGTTGTCGCCGCACGGCCCGTCCCACTCGTAGTCGTCCTTGTACTCTAGCAGCTGCTCGTACTTGTCCTCTCGGAACCGCACCTGCTTGTAGCACGCCGAGTACCGCCGTGCCCGATGGTGCACAAACACGGATGGCAGGTACCCCACCTTGACCCCGGCCCTTCGCGCGTCCAGGAAGAACGTCATGTGCTCATTCACCTTGAGAATGTTCCGCCATGGGTGCGCCCGTAGTGCATCCGTCCGTGCAATCAGCGCGTTGTGCAATACATCCACCCGGATTGGCGTCCGCATCGTCTGCACACCGGGGCCATTGTTCTCGTTCCACACACACAGAGTCACAGTCCGGTCTTCAAACTTGCTGATCTTCGCCACGTACCGCGGAATGAAAATGCTGATCCGTTCCAGTTCCTCGATTCCGGGAAGGTTCCTCACTCGGATTCCCACCACGTCGAATCCTTCCTTTCCGATTCCGCCCACTGCAATCTTCAGGTCCGTATCCTCGTCGAAAACGTGATCGTCATCGAGCAGTACAAAGTATCGCGTCGTCGACATGTTCGTCATCACGTTGCGCCCGATAGAGATACCAGAGTCCGCAGGTAGGATAATCTCCTCTGTGAAGGGATCGCTCTTGATGATCGGCGCGTCGGCCACTTGCGTCGGTCCGTCGTTGGCAAGTAGGATCCGCACGTTGGGATAGTTGACCCGAATCGATCGCACCAGACCCACCACTTGTCTCACAATCGACGGGTCGCACACGTACGTCTTGATCCCAACCGTCACCTCGCTTTCAATCGTCCGGTCCACCTGACCCCTATTCCATAGACCATGAATCCTTTCGTTCTTCATGATTTCCGCTACCTTGGGTCGCAGTTCTTCGATCGCCTTGTCATCCGCACCATTCGGGGAAGACTTTTCCAGCGACTCCTTGGCTCTCACCATGTTGTCTACCACACAGTCGCAGAACTTCTCCGTGGTGAACCGGTTGTGCACCTCTAGTGTACCTGCCTTTTGAATGTCGGTAAACATTGGCGTAAACTTGGTGATCGCCTGCAACTGCCGCACGATAAACGATGCCGACCCGGTCACACTGTTGAGGTTGGGAAGTAGAATACCCGTGTTGGTCCGGATCAGTTCCTTTTGACCACCAACGTCCGTGCCCATCACAAGCATCCCCGCCGCCATCGCCTCATAGAGCACGAGTGCAATGCCTTCGTTGGAGGACGGAAGCAAGAAAATGTCAGCCATGGCATAGTAGTTGCGCAGCTCAGCAATGCCAACGGCAGGCGGCTGAATGATGATCGTCGGGTCGCGCCCCTGCAGCTTCTTCTGCGTAGCCTCGAGCATGTCCTTGAGCTCACCGGATCCCACAAACACAAACGACAAACGCTTGGCCATCTCCGGGTCCTCTGAGACACGCGTGAGCACCTCACCCATCACGTCAATCCCCTTGTCCGCGACGAAGCGACCAGCAAATAGCACTACAATGGCGTCTTTGTGCAGCTCGAGGTCGTTGCGCATCTGGGCGCGCACAGAGGCCTTGGACTCTTCGCTGTGCAAGGCGGATGGGTCGGTTCCAATGTAGCACGTCTTGACCTTTTCGGGGTTTTCAGAGAGCATGTCCGGGTCGATCCAAGTCTTCATCGACTTGGTGACATTGTCGGAGGCCGTGAGATGGAGATCGATCCATTTCGAGTAGGTGGTTCCGTAGCGAGGCATGCCGCCGCCTTTGCCCTTCTCGACCTCCCAGTCCATGTGGACCATATGGTTGTAGTCGGCAATGACGGTCCTCGGGGAAACGGCCTTGATAAACTCGGCATGCTCGTAAATAACGCGGGCATTTCCGGTGAGGACGTAATCTGGCTGGCGCGTCTCGAGCAAGTAGCGAAGGACTTTTGAGAACTTGTGGTTGGGGGCCAAGTTGACAATGTCAAAGACGTCTGACGTAATGGCCAAGGCCTTGTCGAGCCACTCATGCTTGAGGTCCATCTCGCCCAATGGGTCTTGGTGCCAGAATGGCATTGTCAGCACGAATGTGAGTGGCCAATCCAATTTGACGAGTCGCTCGGCAACGTCCAGCATGCACTTCTCCGAGCCGCCCATCTGCATCCAGGGCATGACAAAAATGAGCCTGGGCTTGTCCTCGGTGGCTCCCTCGCCCTTGACCTTGCGGAAGGGCATGGGCCATGCATCAAAGTTGCCCTTCTGTTCGTCCGTGTCCAACGGAACGGCGTAGATCTCGTCCTCCTCGTTGCGAGCGGACCACTTGTAAAAAGCGTGGTCCGACCAGAGGTGGGCCGGGAGGTCATCGTCGTCCATGAATGGGGCATGCAGCGAGAGCATGGGGTTCTTGTTGCGGATGGCGGGCATGTTGAGGTTGTTCTTGTCAACCTCGACGTGGGTGAAGAGGGCCTGGCGCATGACCCTAGCGGTGGACATCATGGTGACGAGCGACATCCAGTAGAGCTTGGACTCGGACGTGGTGCTGTTACTCTCAAGGGTTTTAACTGCGACGGCGGCGAGCTCATCGGCGGTCGGCGGATCAAACTCGCCCTCCCGGTACATGATAGGCAGGACGAGAGCCGGCTCCTTGGCGGTGGGATCAGAGTTGGGCCTCGAAATGTTGGCCATCATGGGATCAGCCTGCAGGACGGTGTTCCTGAGCGAGGTCTCGTCGTAGCCCAGCGGGCGGACGGCCTTAATGTTATCCCTGACGAAGAGGTAGAGCCAGAGCTTTTCCAGGGCAGTGGGCTCCAGGACGATGGAACTAGTGGTGACAAAGACATAACTGCCCGCCTTGCTGCCCTGATCGCGGCTGGCCATGAAGCGGAGCAGGCAATCTTCCATGTCGATCTCGTCCTTGGTGACTCTCTTCTTCTCTCCGTCATTGCCGACAACGATCTCGACGACACTCGGGCACTGGCTCAGCTGGACAAACTTGTCGGCGCCATAGTTTTCGTCAAAGTCTGTGCCGACGATCTGGTGTGCGGTCTCTGCGAGCTGTGCCTTGAGGTCGTCGTTGCGGCAGCCGTGCAGCAGGGTGACCTCGTTGGGGACGAGGCTCTGCCTCATTAGGCTCATGAGTGCGGCCTTGTGCGGCTCGACGCAGCACGGATCGGAGACGTCACACGCGAGGATGACGCGAAGCAGCGGGTCCTGGGTGCGTGTGTGCTCGCGTGTACCATGGCTGGTCTGCAGGGCGACGCGCGGGGCGGCGACGGCGACGGCGGCGCCGCCCGACATGCTGCAGGTGACGCTGAGCAGCGAGGC